ATTGTGCCTAATGACCGGCTCTGCCTCCTGCGAGGGGGGCTCTGGGCCGGAGCGCTGCGGCCTCCCCACTCACTGCCCCGGGGCCGCGGCAAACCACCTCCTCTCTGTGCCTCAGTTCCCTCCTCTTTTAAAAGAACTTTTTAAAAATATGTTTTTATTGTCTTTTAGAGAGAGAGAGGAAGGGGGAAAGAGAAACATCGGTGAGCGAGAGCCAGCCATTGGCTGCCTCCGGCACGCCCCCTACTGGGGACTGAGCACGAAACCAGGACATGTGCCCCGGCTGGGAATCGAACCCGCAACCCTCCCGGTGCAGGGGTGGGGGGGGTGCTCAACCAACTGAGCCACACGGGCCAGGGCTCAGTCTCCTCCTCTTAAAAATGAGGGCAATAATAGAGACTGAATTTAACTCACTGTTGATCAGCTCGTCCGTGTATATTAGCGGAGCTTCAAGTCCACTATTTAACTCGTAGCTAAATAACTCATCCCCCCATTTAACGGAGATTAAATCACATATCTTAGAATTTGGAAGGATGCAAACAGGAGGTGCGCAGCCAAGTGTGGCTGATGTTTTCACCACTTCTGGCCTTGTACCTTCCGACTTGGAGCCAACGGAAGGGGCTCTGGCTACTTCGGCTCTCCCCAGGGGCATCAGCGCGGGTTTGCCGGACGAGCACCCCTGTTTTCTCCCCGAAGTTCACGTCTGTCGCTGACGGACACCTGCTGTAGGCCGGCATTGTGCTGGGCTCTGGCACACAGCACCCCTCTTACTGAAGAAGCCCGGTGACTGGAAAGGTTACCCTCAGTGATTGTCGTTGCAAGTTGATTAAGTTTTTATTGTAAAACCATAAACCGCCGTCGCCGCTTCCTGTCCATAAGGAGAGGTGTCCCCAGAAGGGGCGCTTTGCCGCTGCACTGGGCCAGCCCTGCCGGCCTGGGCTCCTTCGCACGCGAACAAGGCCCGGTGCGCACACGGAGGCGGCCCGCGGCGCCCCCAGGCCCGGAGCCCAGCGCCAGGCGGCTGAGAACGTGGGCTGGCACACAGGCTGCCCGGGTTCGAATCCCACCTCGCCGGCGTAACCTCCGGCAGGGGCGCTTAACCTCTGTGCTTAATGTCCTCGCCCCAAACAAGGGGCAGAAATGCGACCTGCCGCTTACACTTCCTTTTTCCCCCTGTGGAAATTCAGTGAGGTGAGTAGTACATGCCCTATGCTTATGAGTGTCTGGCATACACTAATTAATATTAATATAATATTATGTTAATACATAATATTATAATATAATTATATATTATATAAATACNAATATAATATTATGTTAATACATAATATTATAATATAATTATATATTATATCATATATAAATACATATTATAATATATTAATAATTATATAATATATAACATATCGATACTTAATATTATTATATCATTATATTAATATGCTATTATATAATTATATAAGATAATTATATAATTACATAGTTATACAGTACTTAATATTATGTTATATATAATGTACTGTATAATTATTAACATATAATATATTGTATAATTATTATATATTATGTAATATAAATATAATCAGTATTATAATACAACATTAACAATATAATATTAACACTACTGATATAATAATAGGACTGTTGCTTCTACGGTTATTGGTAAGCAGTCCCTCCCTATGGGTTATTGTTATTATTATTAGAGGGACTTGAATGTGTCAATAGGTCAAAAGGGCTGTAAGAAATAGTAAAATAATTAAAATCACTGTGATTTCATCACACAGACACACTTAAAATATTCAGCTTTATACTTTGCTTCTGATCATCGCTTATATGGGAATGCAGGCATGTGGTCACACATGTTATTATTATGGCCATGGGCTGTCTGGGAACACCTCCCGTGCGCCTGCAGTTCCATCTGGTACGTCCCATGGGTGACAGCGTCTCCCCCAGTCCTGTGAGGCAGGCGGTACCAAGGTCCAAGGGCCACTTGGCAGAGCACAGCCTGGGCAGGAGGCGGGCGGAGGCTGGGGCCCAGTCAGCTCTGTGTGACCCCTGCTTTGGGGCGACTTCCTTGGGATCAGTTTCCAGGATAAGTGACTTCTCGCTCTCAGAGTCCATCTTCTAACCTCTGTGCTTCCTCTCAGGGCGCTGAGGACGTTATAATTCCCCCAAACCCCAACATCTGGATTGAATTAATGAGCCAAACAAAGCACCAAAGCAAGGCGTTGATCCTGCCCCCCGGCTCCCGCCAGCTAGGCGGCCTCAGGCTCCTTGTTACCTGAACCCCGCGAAGTGGGGTAGCTTCTGCCTTCAGACTGATTCTGCGCCTCGGCTGCAGGCAGGTGCTGGGGCCTGGACCCACCGTGGAAGCCTGGGGCCGGGACTCGGTTCCTGGACGGGAGTCACGTTTTGCCTCTGTCAAGCTATCCCTGTGGAAGGAGGAAAAGGTGCCAGATGTTTCTTGCTCCCCAGGAGTTCCCCTCTGCCTGTGGTTGTCCTTTGTTCCTGGGACTAAACACTCCCTTTCCAGGAACAGCTTGGGGGTCTGACCACCTCCAGGAAATCAGGACCCCCAGGGGCACCTGCAGGGGGAGGGAGGGAAGAGATGCGTTCACCACCGTGACTACCTGGAGCAACCAGAAACGTGCCTCAGGAAGGGCTCTGCAGTCCTTGGTTGGTGGTACCGGTGACACCTGGAAAACCTCAGGCTCAGCAGTACGTGGGAGCAGCCTCCTCAGGGACCCATCCCTGGGACCTCAGGACTCCCCAAACAGCCCGCACCCCCATCACAGCCCTCGCACTCTGCAAAGTGATGTGACCATTGTTTCATTCTGACCTCCCAGCAGCCTAGGGGAGCAGAAATGGTAGGCGTGGTTAGTCCTACTTCTCAGATCAGCAAACAGAATCAGAGAGGTTAGGCCATTTGCCCAAGGTCACACAGCCAGTGGGTGACCCAGCCAGGACTGCGGGCCAGGCCTATCTCACACCAGTCTGTGGTCTTTTCTACCATTTCTCTGAGTTAACTTATTCCCCTCACACGAAAAACCCAGATCTCAGCATCGGGGAGGCAATATCAAAACGCCCTCACCCGAGGGAGCCTGAAGCACCTGCCTGAGCTGAACCCGGCCCCCCAGCCATGCCAGGCCATGGGGACAGTGGCATGGCTCCCGGAACCTAGTTCTCCTGGGGCAGTCCCATGTGCTTCGTGACCCCGGCCAGCTGTGCGTGACTGTAGGGCTGGGCGCAGCAGAAAGAGGGGCCTTGGGAGTGAGGTTGGTTCCTTGGCAGGTATCCCAAAGGGGTCCTTAGCAGTAACTCATTCTGCTTAAATCCCAGTTTCTCTAGCCTTTTACACAGGTCAAGCGAATTACTTGCTGAAGCCCCGTGTTCATCCGGCTTTCGTCGTTGGGGGGCATATCATCCATCCGAACCTGGTTTCTCTTGCCTTCTGATGTAATCAGAGGGTTGGCCTGGCCCCCCGTTTTTCTGCTAGTCTTTGCTTATACCCCACAAATATGAATAAGGGAGGGAAACATTCTCCTTCATTACCTTCTAAGAACTGTTTCAGGGTCCTGGTTCTCAGAGTGTGGTCTTCAGATCACCAATGACCTTGTTAGAAAGGCAAGTGAACGGGAGCTCCCGGGTGGGGCCCAGCACCCCGTTCCCACAAGCCTCTGGGGCGGCTAGTGCTCACTCAAGTTTCAGAACCTCTGGTTCCAGAAACGGCCTTCACTTAGGAAGCGGAGCGGCTGGCACCCCACTCCACCCCTCCCTGGCTGGGCGACCTCATGCAAATCGCTGCCTCTCCACCTCTCCCCCTGTCCAGGGCCGGGGTGGAACCACGGACCCCAGGGCCCGTCCAGCCTGGCTGTGTGTCAGACTTCCTCTGCCCCCACCCCCATGAAGGCAGCATGCTGGGGGGTCCCTGGGCACCGTGCCACCGGAGTGGGAGCAGTCGGCTAGGTAGAGCCCATGATGCCTCCCGTCTGGGTCTCTCCACACCGCCTGCTCCCTGCCACCCAGCCTGCGGGTCCCCAGCCAAGAACAAAACGGCACGTGCTGCCAGCTGGCCTCGGAAGGGAGGTGGCCCGGTGCCAGCCCCTGCTAATTGCTAATTTGCACTGAAACAGCAAACAAAGCCCCTCGTGTGAACGCCCTGGTACTTGGCCAGTCCTCCCCAGTCTCCTTCAGCCATCGCCTAGGGGGCCAGGCCCCAAATCTGGAGCCATTCACCCCAGGGTTCCAGGGGGCCATGCCAGCCGGGGGCGCTCCCCCAGCCCTGGGAAAGCCAGCGTCTCTCCCAGCTAATGGGGGAGGGGAGGGCTTGCTGTTGGCCCGACGGTTTTCTCTCCCGTTGACACCCTTCATGAAGAAAAGGTACAAGGATTTCTCTCCCGGGCACAGAGCTTGCGAGAGGAAGGAGGAGGCGGCGGGAAGAGCTGACCCTCAGCGGGCCCTGTACCCCGAGACTGGCCAGGTCTTCTAGCAGCTGAGACTACCCCACCCCTGTGATGCGGGGACCGTGGGGGGCTCCCCAGCACCCAGACCCAGACCCAGGTAGGACTGCCTGGAACCCCAATTCCTCAGCCAGAGAGAAAACACCAAATCTCCCCAGAGAGTCTGCGGAGCCCTGGTTTTCACTCCCGTGTCTTCATTCTCGGTCCCCGCGTCACCCTGAGGCCCACAGCTCCGCATCGTCACGTCCCACAAAGAAAACCCCCACAGGCTCCAGGCGTTCGGCAATTCTGCAGCACTGATGGAAGACTGGCAGGACGGGGGAGGGTTACGGAGTGAGGTGGGTGGTGCGTCCCACGCTTTAGCTCCGCCCCTGTCCCCGCCTTGTCACCTGCAGCTTCCCAGGTCTCTGATCCTGGTGCCAGCTCTCACCGGTGCCCCGCCAGGCCTCCCTCACCTGGAGCAGGCTCCAGGCCCTCTCTCAGCAGGGGCGGCTGTCTTTCTCAGAGGAACTCCCGTCCCAGAGGACAAACGTCTCCTCATCTTGTCATCAGTGAACATGGACGAAGTCCCTGTCCTCCGGGAAGGAAAAGGCACACCGACAGGTGAGTATAGAGCGGGCCAGGTGGTGACAAGAGCCAGCGTGTCAGGGTTTGGACCGATTCTCTTCGTTTGTGCCACGAGAATGTAAACTGCACGAGACGAGATTTTTACAAAGAGCTTTCCTGAGTCTAATTAACCTGCTGTAAACTGCACATGAAGCGTGCAACCGATCAGTTTTGGCAGATGTGTACACGGGTGAAACCGTCACCACAATCCAGACAGTGGACGGACGCAGGGCCCCCATGTTTTCTGGGGCCCCCTGTGCACAGTTTCTGGGCTCCTTCCATGTGCTCCCATCCCCCCTGGTTGGTAGCGACCACTCACCTCCTGTCGCTGTAGACGGCTTTGTGTTGTCTGGAGTTTTATTTAAATGAAATCATGCAGTAGGTGTTCTTGCACGTCTGGCTTCTTCCACATAGCAAAATTATTTTGAGGTTCACCGATGTCGCCATGCTGATCGATAGTTTATTTCCTTTTATTGCTGAGTGATTTCCGTTGTATGGATATACCACAACTTGCGCATTCACCGGTTGATGGACATTTGGGCTGTTCCAATTTTTTGACTATTAAAAATAAAGCTGCTGCCCTGTCGGTTTGGCTTAGTAGTTAGGGTGTCAGCCCTCGGACTGAAGGGTCCCCGGTTCTATTCCGATCAAGGGCAAGTATCTGGGTTGCAGGCTCCATACCTGGCCCTGTCAGGGCCCTTGCAGGAGGCAACCAACTGATGTGTCTCTCTCGCATCTATGTTTCTCTCTCTCTCCCTCTCTCTCTGCCCCCTTCCACTCTCCGAAAGCAATGGAAAAAATATCCTCTGGTGCGGATTAAAAAATAATAATAAAGCTGCTATGGACATTTGTATATAAGTCTTCACACAACAGGCATATATTTTCATTTATCATGCTTAAATAGCTAAGGGTGGAGATGACTGGATCATATGGTAGATTTATGTTTAACTTTTTAAAAAACCTGCTAAATTGATTTCCAAAGTTGTAGTATCAATCTTTTAAATGTGAGACAGTTTGATAGACATTTAGTGGTATCTCGTGGTTTAATTTGCATTTCATGACTAGTAATGCTGAGCATCTTCCCAGGAGTTTATTTATCATAATCCCTAGTGAAATGCATGTTCAAATTTTGCCCATGTAAAAAAATTGGGTTGTTTGTTTTCTTATTATTGAGTCTTAAATGTTGTTTATATGTCCTGGATGTAAGTCTTTTATCAGATACGTACTTTCCCAAGATTTTTCTTTTCTGTCTGTGGTTTGTCATTTTATTCTCAACAGTGTCATTTGAAGAAACAAAAGTTTTAAATTCTGGTAAAGTCCAATTTATCCATTTTTTTCTTTTGCGGATCACGCTTTTGCTGTCACATCGAAAACCTTGCCTAACTCAAGGCAACAAACATTTTCTCCAGTGTCTTCTTTTAGATGCTGTATGACTTTAAGCATTACGTTCAGGTCTATGATTTATTTTTGTTAACGACTGTACACGGTCCAAGGTGGAGATCAAAGTTCGTTTTATTGCATCAGATATCCAATTGTTCCAGCCTCATTGTTGAAAAGACTACCTTCGAGTCACCAAATTGCCTTTGTACCTTTGTTGAAAATCAACTGACCATAGGCTTGTGCCTCTATTTACGGACCCTGTATTCTGTTCTGTTGGTTTGTCTGTCTTTACACCAATAATGCATGTCATGGGTAGTGTAGATTTACAATGTCCTGAAGTCAAGTAGTTTAAGTTCTCCAAGTTCATTCTTTTTCAAATTTGTTTTGGCTATTTCAGGTCTTTTTGTTTCTATATGAATTTTAGAATCAGTTTGTCCATTTCTACAGAAGAACCTGCTGGGAATAAATTGGGAAAGGGTTGACTCTATAGATCAATTTGGGGGGAATTGACACTGAACAATATAGAGTCTTCTGATCCGTGAGCACAGTATATCTCGCCATTTATCTAGATTTTCTTCATTTTCTCTCAGCAACATTTGTGGTTTTTCAACTTATTTTTATTTGAAAATATCTTGCATACTTTTAACAGATCATCTCACATGATAATTAATTTTTTTATGCTAGTGTAAATGTACTTTTAATTTCTGATTGTTAATAATTAATATTTAGAGATATGATGGAATTTTGTATTATGATTTTATATTCTAAAAAGTTGATAAGCTCACTTAGTAGTTCCAGTAGCTTAAAAAGTTTTTTTTTAACTTAATCAGATTTTCTGCATAGAGGATCATGTGATCTGTGAGTCAAGACAGTTTTACTACTTCCTTTCCCATCGGGATATTTTTTATTTCCTTTACTTGCCTTATTGCACTGGTTACAATCTCCAGTAAAATGTTGAATACAAGAGGTGAAACCGACACCCTTGTCTTGTTCTTTGGGGGAAAGTATTGCCTCTTTCACCATAAATTATGATATTAGTTGTAAATTTTTCATAGATGCTCATTACCAGGGTAAGGAAGTTGTGATATTCTGAGTCTATTAAGATTTTTTTTAAAAATCAGAAATGGATGTTGGGTTTTATAAAGTGTGTTTTCTGTATTTATCATGATGATACTTGCTTTTCCGTATTTATTCTGTTAATGTGAATTACATGGAGTTTTAAAAATGTAAACCCATCAGGTATTCCTGGGATAAATCCCACTTGGTCTTGATGTATTATTGGTTTTTATATATTATTGGATTCTAAAATTTTGATATTTTTTGCATCTGTGTTTATGAGGGATATTCGTCTTTGGTTTTCTTTTCTTGTGTGTTTTTGTCCAGTTTTGGTATCACATTAGTACTGGCTTAAGAGAATGGGCTGAGGAATATCCCCTCTTGTTCAATTTCTGGAAGAGTTTGTACAGAATTGATATTATTTATTTCTTATGTGAATTGATATTATTGATTTCTTACATGCTTGATAGAATTCACCAGTGAAGCCTACTGGGCATAAAGCTTTCTTCATGGGAAGATTTTAAACTGCAAATTCAATTATTTAGATAGATTTAGGGTCATTCAGGCTATCTGTTTATTCTTCAGAGAACTTTGGTAGTTTGTGTCTTCCAAGGAATTTGTTCATTTCGTCTAATTTGTTGAATTTATTGATATAAATTTCTTTATAATACTCTCTCATTATCTTTTTAATAACTGCAGAATCTGTAGTGATATTACCACTCTCATTCTCTATGTTGGTAATATATGTATTTATCTTTTACTGTACTGATCAGTCTGGTTAGGAGTTGATTAATTTTTATCATTAAACGTCTCAAAGAACCAACTTTGGGTTTCATCAATGTTTTTGCTTTAAAAATTTTTATTTTATTGATTTCACCCTTATTATTTACTTTTTTCTATTTATTTTGATTTCATTTGTACTTTCTTTTCTTAGCTTTTTAAGGTGCCAGTTAAGGTCATTGGTTTGAGACCTTACTCTTTTTAAGTATAGGCATTTTGTGCTAAACATACACCTCTAAGTACTGCTTTAGCTGCATCCCATAACTTTTGTGTTTTTATTTTTATTCAATTCAAAATATTTCAAATTTCTCTTTTGATTTCGGTTTTTACCCATAGGTTCCTTAGAAGTGCATTATTTAGTTTTCAAATATTTGAGGGTTTTTCATATAGTTTTCTGTTTATGATTCCTAATTCAATTTTCTCATGACCAGAGAACATACTTTGCTTTTTAGTGTTTTACATTTATTGAAACTTAATTTATAACCAAAAATATGGACTATCTTGGTAAATATTTTATATGCACTTGAAAATAATGTGAGTTCCCCTATTGTTCAGTAGAACATTATCTAAAAGTTAATTAGGTTAAGCTGGTTGATAGTGTGATTTAAATAAATAATATCCTTACTAATTTTCTGTTTATTTTTTCTATCAATGATCTAGATGGAGTGTTAAGATCTCCAGTTATGAATTGTGGGTTTCTCTATTTATTTTTTCAGTTCTGTAGTTTTTGCATAATGTGTTTTGAAACTCTGTTATTGTGGGAAAATAAATGTTTGTTATGTCCTCTTGATGAATTGGCTCCTTCATTACTATGAAATTATACTCTTTGTTCCTGGCAGTATTCTTTGCTCTGAAATCTTTTGATAAGGCGTAGCATTGTGTATCTTTTCTCATATCTTACTTTTAACACTACCTGCATCTTTACATTTATAAGGTTTTCTTTTTGTTTGATCCAGACTTCATCTGGTATTATTTTTATTTTGTCCAAGAGTCTTCCTTTAACATTTATTATAGTACAGGTCTGGTGTTGATGAATTCCTTTAGTTTTTGTATCTTTGAAAATGTCTCCGTTTTGTCTTCATTTTTGAAAGATAGTTTTGCTGGGTGTAGGATTATAGATTGACAGTTTCTTTTTTAATTTTCATTTGTTGAACCATTTGTTTTTTGCTTTGGTTTTTGACATTTCCTTTTTATCTGCACTCTAAAGATGTTGCTCCATTGCCTTATGGCTTCATTATTTCTTACTAGTAGGCTGTCTGCCATTCTTATCTGTGCCTTCTGTATGTGACATGTGTTCTTTCCTCTGGCTGCTTTAATGGTTTCTCTTCATCACTGGTTTGAAGCAAAAACAGTTTATGATATTCATTAGTGTTATCTTCTTCAGGTTTCTTGTGTTTGGGCTATATTGAACTTCTTGGATCTGTGGGTTTATGGTTTTAATAACTTTGGAAATTTTGGTTACTATTTCTTTAAATAATTTTTCTTCCCATCCTTCTCTCTCTCTTCTTTTTTCCATGACTCCAATTATACATGTCTGCTCATTTTTCAGTCATTTTTATCTCTTTCTGTTACTTTGAATAATATGTATTGTTATATCTTAAATGTCACTAATATTTTCTTCTGTAGTATAAAACCTGCCACTAAACTTATCCAGTGTCTTGTTTATCTCAGTTGTTATGGCTTTCATCTCTAGAGGCTCAATGTGGGTTTGTAAAAATATCTTATACATTGCTTCTCAATATACTCAATCTTTCACTTAGATTTTTGGGCATGCAGAATAT